TATAACCTCTTGTATGTATGCACTTTACCTGAATAAACATTTATTCATTTTATAAGTAAGTATACAGCCACCACCAGGAAAACTGGACTACTACAACCATGACCCCAAGCGGACGTCTTGCCACCTGCGTCACATGGGGACCACCGGACAACGTGACGTGTTTTGACCATTGTCTCCATCCTGCCGTCAGGCATTCCTCTTCAACGACCCAGATTGAAATGCCGCTTGGCGCACTTATCGTCTGCGGTTACAGGAAAGTTTAGGGATTTTTATTTTCCGGTTTGATCTTCGGAGCGAGTAGACGGTGTCCGGCGAGGGTTTGGCCAAGAGGTGACGGATCTTATTCGCCTAGTAATCTAAGTGATCACTCGACAGTACTCTACTCACTCGTGGTGGACACTTGGTATGCTCTAGGTGCATGGTGTGCGTCTGCCAGAAGTTAACCGACTATGTGCAGGCGATGAGTCACAGTAACGTGGCTGAAGTATGTTGACCAGACCACACACTAGAAGTTGAAGGGACGACGACGTTTCGGTCCGTCCTGGACCATTCTCAAGTCGATCCATTCTCATTAATCGACTTGAGAATGGTCCAGGACGGACCGAAACGTCGTCGTCCCTTCAACTTCTAGTGTGTGGTCTGGTCAAGTTAACCGACTATGGTTGGTTGCATCCTGGAAAGGTCAGTCTTTTATCAGGTTACCCCCAAGAAAACGAACCGATTGTAGACAAATCACAGATAAATAATAGAGAAATTAATTTAAAATTAAAAGGAACATTTCAGCTCTGTTATAAGATTGTACTGATCCTTCCTGTCTTATAATGGTGGTACATAATCTCTCCGGCTTGGCGCCGCCTTTTGATAATGACTTATCTTATAGCCCCCCCATCCTTTTTCTCATTGGTTTCGTTGCATATAATGACAAGATGAAACGTTCATATGAAAGATACTAATACAGGAGTTTGTGTGATTTTACCATAAAACAAATAAGCTTAAGCTTACCAGTGTTCTATGAATTTCCCACCCGTTTTCCTGTTACATACGATTCCATTCTCACGTTATTTTGTACCAATTATATCCTTAACTTAATTTAGCTAAATAAAATATCAATTAAAATAAAAATATATACATTTGTGTGCAGGTAGACTTCCAGCCAACGACTGGCTTTCGTTGAGTGGTGGTGGTGTCAGCGCAATCACTTTATTCTAGCACAAAATGCTTTATTTTTCTTATATTGACATTGGATAGGCTGGACAAGTGAGTTTTTAGTTAAATTAACTTAGATTCCAAACATCGTGAGAATGTGGCATGATCCAATTAGATGGCGGGAAAGATTTCATGACGGTCAAATTTAGTACTGATAACATCCTAACGCCATCAGTTAATATAAATAGCCAACGTCAGATGTTGTAAAGGTCTATTATCTTTAAATTACTGGTTTAAAACACGACGAAAATGCCATAATAGGTTTTGAACCCAAACATTTAAAAACACGTGAACTTGCGAATCCTCGTCCTCATCATCTCGCGGCCACTGAGTGCATAAACACTTAACATTTTCTTCCTGGTTGAGCATAAAAGGATTTTCTCGTGTTTGTAATGCGAGATCGATGCCTATTCAACCGTGATCCTATTCTTCGTGTATTTGAGGCATTCTTTAGTTTTTGTTAGACCTCTATTACTAGGCTGAACAACGTAGTTGTAGAGGCGCTTGGATATTATAGCTTGTGTTGAGAACGATGGGGTATGTATATTTATATTGCTTACAATTGCTTAAAACTATGAAGGTAGGTCATAGTTTAAAGCGTCATAAATCTGGTAATCGTAAGTTTCTACCAATATTTGAACTGTAGATAAAGTATAGCAAGGATTAGCTTGTGCTCATAGACAGTAAATATACAAAGAAAATAACCTGGAAGCTAAATTTGGTCATTACTTTAATGCTCAAGAAATGGCAACACTTGGACCATTCTTATTCGTTTTGTTTCTAATTTCTGCGACTTCTGACGCGGATGATGCACCATTTATCTGTTACTAGAATGGTTGCATGAGAATATGCCTGTATGTGTTAATATCAAACTAATTTGTGCGTAATTTTATTTGTGTACATTGGATCTATAGCACCCGGCCGAGCAGCTGCTGGTATACTTGTGGGTTGCCCGCGGCATACCGGCTTGGGTTGGAAACTGTCCTGTTGTGGGAAGTCCACAAGCACTGTGTCTTGTCCCCCCCCCCCCTTCCCTCTTCTGCGTTGCTGGGGGGACGTTCACACTGGATTCACGCTTGGCTGCTCTGAAACCTGTCACTTGAACATTGAATAAAAGGCTGCCAGGGAAGGAACGACGTATCGCGCTTCGATAACTTCCCACATCCTACACCAAACAAGAGAGGGGCTTCGTTACTGAAATAATGTGAAGAGTTTTGCTTGCGGAATCTCTCTCTCTTCCTCACCCGCCTCTTTATCTGTCTGCCTCAGTCGCCAACTGTACAATATAGAGGACGAAGTGAAATAGCAACAATTGTACCCGAATGATATTGCCACTTTGCTCATGTGGAAACCCCGACAACGGAGTAACTGTGCGTGACATACAGAGGCGTGGGTGGTAAAGGGGTTGCTGTGGCGTGGTCAGTATGTAATTTGCTGTGATGTGTGGGGGTTATACGGGATGGGGGAACAATTTGCTGTGAAGAATGGGGATTATACGGGAGGTGGTATTGTTGTGAAGTGTGGGAGGTTATAGGAGAAGGGTTAAAGATTGTAGTTGATTCCGCAAAACATACGTAGATCCAAATGTTTTATTGGCACTAAATCTGTGACGGTAGGCTAGAGGGGGAGTTAGGTAACAAGTCTAGTTTTTGAGACGTAGTAGCGACCGTTGCAAGTCATTGTAATTAAGAATGAAGCTTGCCTCCATTGTAATAAATCATTTGTTATTAAGTTTCAAGCAAAAATGTTTAACAAAACACCAATTGGCACCTCAGTCGTGGGCTTATGGTCGCCCGGGGGCCCAAGCAAGGTGTAAGTGTAAGGTCTGGGCATCCAGGGGCGTGGGTGATGAAACAGGAAGCGGTTGCTAGCTTGGCCGAGGTCGATGTGTATGTCTGTAGGACTAGATAGCGGTGGCATGCATAGCCAGACGAGTACTTCCCGCTAGCCAGCCCCGTCAAGGCCGCGCACTCACGGTCCACACAACACCCCACAGCTACCCCTCCTCACCCTGCTATTGGCCTCCCCTGTGCCAGTATTGGATTGTGCCGTTGTTGATCAGTCATTGCTTCTTCCTGCATTCCTAGTGTTACATCAGCTGAGAGCATGACCACCCTACAACGGAAATATGAGGGTCACTCATGATTGTGTTGATTTCCCACTACCCCACATCCTGCCCTCCACCCCTGTTCTTTCTTTATCCAGTCCCCAGCTCCTCCCCACAAGGGGCTCGTATTATTATTCGGGCCTCGAGGGTTTGGAGAGGATGTGAATGGGCCGCTCTGGGAATGTGCCCAACGAGGGGCTTCATTTTAATTTTGCCCCGGAAGGCTAATTTATTGAGAAGCGTCACTCATTCTGAAAGTAAACATATCACCATTAGCAGCAAGTACAACATTATCCAATAGGAAGGAAACCTACTGAGTTGCTGCATGTAAATACGAGTTGAGACGATACATTTGCCCTTAAGTTAAACAATGGCAAAAAAAATTGTCACGTTGTCAAGCTCCCCGGAAGCTTCTGCATATTAAATGAAGCAGCTTGATTAGGTATAGGTAGGCATATTTATTTTGTTTTAGTAATTTATAGACTTCACTAGAAGGGGTACCAAGCTACTCGCCGAACTCTTTCCCCACCTTAACCCCCTTCCTCTTTACTTGGCCCCTCCCCTCGTCCTTTACCCATCCGCAGCCCTCTTTCCCTGTCTCTTCCCCACCACCCCCTCGCTTCCCTCTCTCTTCTCGCTTCCCCCTCTTCCCCCTCTCCTCCCCTCCCTCTTGCCTTGCTTCCTTTCTCCCCCTTCTCTCAGAAAATTTAGTACGAAGCATTAACAACTTTATCTGGAAACAAAATATTTCACCTTGACTCCATGAAAATTGCACTGGGTCTCTATGAGTGCTAATATTTCTTAGTGTTTAATTTAGGCCGACCCTGACCAGCCCGTGTCCGTTCCGTACTGCATACCATTTCCCCTGCAAAGCTGTTTCCCCAAGCGTCTGACCTCCAACCTTGGGTAGACGGATAGACAGACAGACGTTCTCTTACAGATATAAATTATACGTCTGTAGCACATTTAGGAAAAGTAGAATAAATAATTAAGACAAGAGTTGGATATTTATATTGTTAGGGAGGATTACAGATTATAAATAATTAGTGGTTTGCCTAGGTCTCAAAGCTTTAAGGCCTGAGAGATGTTTAAAATCGGCTTTTGATATACTTTGTGAATATGCATGGGAAAAATCAAAATAGTTTTCTTTTACAGTATAAAAATAAAGCCAGGATATCCCGGTGGCGTGAGTGTGTGTCCGGGTAAGCGTCATGTACCTGGTGGGGGCCCGGGGTTTGGGTCCCTTACAGGGACTAAGGTTAGGAAGCCTCTGCACTACAACATCCTGTGTGTGCTCCACAGGTTCATAACTACTCGTAAATCAGTCATGAAGCTAAATAATTTGTGAAATGTTACCTGGGTTATCTAATATGAAAATAAATTCCCTCCCTCCTCAATATATTACATTTAGGAAAGTTTACAAGATAAAACTAAGGGAAAGTGAATGTTGCTACATTGCACGCAGTTCCATAAATGATGATCTTCTTGGTCTTGATTCGGAAATAGTTGCATAATTTACAAGTTTGACGCTGGAAACAATCCTGTGTATGAATTTGACAATATTGTTCCAAGTTGGCAATTATCGTTTTCAAAAATGACTAAGCATCGACGGTTACACAACATTTTACTCCTGCCATAATATATATTTTCAATTTACTAAATCATAAATTAAATTTTTAAAAGACTGAAACGCCTATATAATCAAAACTTATGAAGACCAAGAGAAAAATCCTGCGAGAGAATAGCAATGTCACGACCAACAGTGATAATACCATAGTGTAGTAGCCTAAGGGAGAGAGCGATCAAATACGACCCTCGACTTTCACAGTGATCACATCTTAGTTGCACCATCCTCTTGTTTTTCTCTCCGTTGGTGGAGCGTCGTATCCTTGAGCATTCTATAAATAATAATTTCCATCAGTAACAGCAACTTTGTGCCTGCACTGTAAAGTATAAAGAAAACATTAAACCAAAACAAAGCCGGGGAGAATAGAAATTTATATTATATTATATAATATAAATATATATATAAATGGAAAATACTGGAAGTCCAGGCCCTAAATTTGCACAGTAAAGTAGCAACATACTGGAGCGAACAATATGGAAGGTACACACAAGTCCGCTACGAGCTCAGCAAAGCCCGTGCTACTTGAAACTTGAAACTTTTGTTTTTGAGTAGCCGAATCTAAAACAACAACGATATGGAAGGAAATGCAGAATACAGCCAATGAGGAGCAATGTTGGTCTAAGTTATCAAAATCAAGCCTGGCCCTAGGCCGGGCTTTGAGAGTAGAACAAATCCACAAGGGTCGTGACGAGGATTCGAACCTGCGTCCGGGAGCATCCCAGACATCCCATGGGATGGCATCCCATCCCATCGTTTGAGAGTAGAACTCCAGAACCCACACCAGATACGTTCCAGATACGTTTAATATTTGTGGAATCATAGGAAGCGTTCAAAAGTAACTGGGGCATCAGGGTTTAGAATAGGTATGTTTTCTTTAATCGTTAGCATCATTAATATTGACTTTGAAAATAAATATCATTTTGAAAAGCATAGGCAATGAAAGTTGAACAAGAACGCGTTCAAATTAAAATCAGTTGCTACGACACAGACTAGCTGTGATGCTAAGTAGCCCACAACAAAGGCAAACAGCCTCATAGACCAGGCAAGCACCAGTGAAATCACTGCCGGTAACCAACAGACAACCCATATGTTGAGATAGAGCTGAAGGTGGGGGGTAGCGGAGCCCCCAAACCCCCACAAGATAAACGATGAGCATTGCTAACACATCAGACGGGAGACATCTCCTGTCCACGAGGCTAACCATAGCCCGTGCTTCTTGCCCCGCTCCTGTGCCAGGTAAGTTACGGGCTCACCATAGCCCGTGCTACTTGGAACTTGTTCCGAGTAGCTGAATCTATAACAACAACAACAGCTAACACATCAGTAGCGATAGCCTCAGCATTATTATTATCGAGTATAAAAGTCAATGTGAACGTGAAACGTAAGCACTTGCATCTAGATAGTGTATGTGTGGGGGGAAGGGTGGGTGACTCAAGAGGATAATGACTGGCTGGTTCTGACGAGCCCAAGCAATTCGTCCTGGAGGTCAACTCTGTCATTGGGTAGCAGATCAGCGTGGCGTGATGTGAGGTTTAGCTCCTAGCGCCCAACCTCAGAATGGTGCCCAACCACTTGAGCCGGACGGTAGAGCGACGGTCTCCTTCATGTAGGTCGGCGTTCAATTCCCGACCGTCCAAGCGGTTGGGCACCATTCCTTCCCCCCGCCCCCCGTCCCATCCCAAAATCCTTAGATAGATAGCACTGGGACTAGATAGCACTGGGAAGGGGTCCCAGTGCTATCTAGTCCCAGTGGCTTGGCGCTTCCCCCCCCCCCTGATTGTTCCCGTCCCTTCCCTTCCTAGTGTCTCGTTATAAAATTACAAACATACAAACGTATGTGCGTATGCACATGTATGCGTATACGCACATATACTACATATAAATACGCATTGCACGTTTGAACACTTTGAAGGTATGCCTTCAGATTAGTTCCAAAGCAAAAAAAAGGTATGATGTACGAGGCTAAACAATTCTAGTTTCTCAACTAAATGTAATATTTAGATTTAAATTTATGATTTAAATGTAATATTAACGATAATTGATATACCTTGCATTGGGGTTATTGGAGTGTTGGACTTGCTTTAAGGTTGAAGGGGGGGGGGGGGGACGGACCCATGAGTTGAAGCTAAACTCCCGGTAGCACAAGTTTCGGTACCTTTAGGTAACGTAGTATAGAGTGAACGTTGTGAAAATCATCAAAATGCCCTCAACCTTCAAAGGAAATAACCGGGTTCAGAGGCGAGGTGGAAACATGTACTTTTATATTTACAAGTTGATTATTTTACTCGGAGAAATAGGGAAGAACTCTCATATTTTACTGAACGCAAGATTCACTTAAGGCGTTTAGACGGAAGGAATAAAATTAAAGAATTGGTAAAGAGGATGAAGAAAAATGGAGACGATGGCATGAGGCAAGTGAAGAAGAGGTCCCACAAGCCTCTCCTGACGGGGCTGGCGTGTGCTAAGCTTCCCTCGAGTGCTCCTCGCCCTTGACTACCAACTTCACCCAAGTTTTATATTTGACTTGATTTTTATCTTAAGATTTTCTTGAGAAGTGAGCGAAGTTTATTGCTTTTCACACAACATCGCGTAATGTTAGAATAATTAAACAATAATAGAACTGTTATACAGGCTTATACAGTAGTATACTGGCAGTCATACAGTATGGGTTTAACCTTACAATGGACGAGGTTGACTTTCCTCCTGTACTGTAGTTTTCCATTATACATAATGATACCAGTATTACGATGATACAGTAGTACCAGTACGTGTGGTTCATGAAGGGACTCTTGCAACTAAGAAACCATGTTCAAGGGTGTAGTTGTACATATAGTACTTAAGTAGCAGAGTACAGTACATAAAGTACTAAGTTCCATACAACAATAATAATAAAGATGGATGTATTGGGGTTACTGATGTGCTAGCTTGTGGAACTGGGTATCCTCCACTTCCCTCAGGACTTGGTCATGATTCTCAAAGGTGAATCAACTTCTTTAATCCACTTTCGACTAAGGAGGTAATTTGATATATTGTGGGGGCCAAGAGTGGGGATATATTTATGGGGTTAAATATTAATAAACACAGGGATGGTGTTACAGTTAGACACCGGCTGCTAACTTAAAGTATCATAACTGTTGTAACAGCGAAATTTGTCGTCACATTGCTGCTGTTCTTAGGTACAGACATGTGGATGGAGTAATTGTACCAGCTGTACCAGTCCACTACGGGCTGACCATAGCCCGTGCTTCTTGGAACGTTTTGTTCTGAGTAGCTGAATCTAAAACATCAAGAGGGTGAGTACTGAGTGCACGGGAGACATCTCCCGTCACGCAGGGCGCAGTCGCACCTCCACAGATCTCCAGTATCATCTATTTATATTGATAATGGCTCAAAAGGGCCACCACTTACGGGCTATTCATGCCCGGGCCACCTTTTGGGTGGCTTAATCTTCATCAATCAGTACTGAGTGGCAGTACACTGCAGCCTTGATGGTTACAAGAGCAGTGTTTGTAGCGTGTTAGAGCTGGCTGGTAGTTGTGGCCTTTGCTATTCTATTTCCTCGTTTGTTGTACTAGGTTTTACCCATTCCTATATTCCATTATTTTAAAGTATAATGGATGTTGATCTTTTATTGTGTAAAAGCTGTAAGTAGTTCCTAATTCACTAAAATCTAGATTTTTTAGAAGGTAGTGTGCACAAGAGGCTTAAATTATGCTGAATATTATTGAAAATTATAAAATCCATAGGAGCCGCAACGATGGTTCGAACCTATGTGGTGGGTGTTCCCATGCGCACACGCTAGCAACTAGACCCCAACATGGTCAAAAGGATTTTTGAACTCTTAGAGTTCTACTGACCTCCCAAGGGTTTTCTGAGGTTTCCACTGACCTCACAAGGGTTTCCTGAGGTTTTCACTGAAGCTGAACCAGGATTTTCACACAAGTCCCCCATGCACTTTGGCTCACTCATCAAGGCATGTTCTACCTCCGACGCTCGTATTTCAATACACAGAGAGTAATCACACTAACGTGATGTGTCAATGACAAAATCCGTAGGTCACGGCTCCTACGGATTTTCTCATTGATGCAGTCACGTTAGTGTGATTATCCCGTGTGTATTGAAAATTATAATTATATTAATTAGAGTAATCACACTAACGTGATGTGTCAATGACAAAATCCGTAGGTCACGGCTCCTACGGATTTTCTCATTGATGCAGTCACGTTAGTGTGATTATCCCGTGTGTATTGAAAATTATATATTCCTAGTACCCGGTTGAAATTTCAGTGTTGTGATCATTTTATATTTTGAGAATTGGTAATTTTGTTCTCTGTATTTTCACAACTGGGTTGTATTGACTGGTCTGTAAGGTTGTCGAGCCAGGCCAGCTGCGTTATAATACAGAGTCCGTTCTCGTCATCTGACGCTCCGTAAAAATGCAATTGTTTTGTCTAACCGGAAACATTCGAACCTAAGCAACCCGCTTAACCTATCAAGTCCGATGCTTGAAACTCGTCAATATTACGGCGCTTAGATTTTGACTAAAACCTCGCAATTTTGACGGTTTATTCTATTCCGTTAAAAATGCGATTGATTAAATTAAAATGACACGTTGCATATATAACCTTTCTTAACAAAGGCTATTATTTATATATTCGCGTATAACACATACTATACTTCGTTTTCATTGGATATAGTGTTATCTACAATATATACAAATAAAGATCAAACATTTATTTTTCTTACGAGATAATATATTGCCAGTTATTTAAGTTTTAAAGTGCTTAGCAAGAGGTGATATGATTCAGCTTATCGTCTGCCTTTACAGACGGTCTCGTAATCAGGAATGAACATAACTAACCCCGCAGCCTACCATCCACTGCAACCCGCTCTACACTTTCTTTGTCGCCCTCTTCTCCGTCATCCCACCTCCCTCCATTTTCTCCCCTACGCATTATTCATCCTAGCTCCAGTTCCCGTCTCTCCATTATCAGCTCCCGGCCCCTCTCCCTACTACTTTATCTGTTTTGTGCTCTCCCATTTTTTTTTCAGGCTATCGGTTTTTTCCTCTGTTCCCTCCTCGACCATCCTCTTCCCTTCCCAATTTGGTGTTCTTTCTTTCTAACACTATCCTCTATCATGCGTCTGTTCCCCCACATTTAACCTCTTCCATCTGTCTCCTCTCACACCATTCATTATTTCATATCTGTGCCTAGCTTCAGACAGAAGTCCGTCACACGCCTTGGGAAGCCGAGACCAGTCAAGGATGACAAGAGTCGCTTATAATTAACGTGTCGACTTTGGATTCATGTACTTATTATGTGCGTATATAAATAACCCCCTTCCACCACCGCCCACACGGGAGACATCTCCCGTCACGCAGGGTGCAGTCGCACCTCCACAGATCTCCAGTATCAGCTCTTGATACTGGTAATGGCTCAAAGGGGCCACCACTTACGGGCTATTCATGCCCGTGCCACCTTTTGGGTGGCTTAATCTTTATCAATCATCAATCACCACCGCCCAGGGGATAGGAATGGAGGTACATAATATATTACTGAACTAACCAGAGATGCAGTCTTGGGGCTCAAACACGATATTATTTTTGTTTTTTATTGCATTTATTTGGAAGAAGTGGTATTTCTAGATATTATTAAAATCATTACACTGACATAAAATACTCCGCGTGGCAATAGACGCGCAGATACCTGGTTGATACCTGGTTGATGGGGTTCTGGGTTCTTCTACTCCCCAAGCCCGGCCCGAGGCCAGGCTTGACTTGTGAGAGTTTGGTCCACTAGGCTGTTGCTTGGAGCGGCCCGCAAGGCCACATACCCACCACAGCCCGGTTGGTCCGACAGAATGCAGTCATTCTGAAGTCAGTCGCAGTCATGCAGAAAGGAATGGTTGGGAACCATTCCTTTCCTCCGTCCTATCCCAAATCCTTATCCTGACCCCTTCCAAGTGCTGTAAAGTCGTAATAGCTTGGCGCTTTCCGCTGATAATTAAATTAATTTTATTTCCATGTTATCCCATCAATTTAAGAAATGGATTAAATAGCCATTGCAGTGTCTCAGAATAATTTGATAAAGCAAAGGTGAGAGCTGGATTGAGTGTTCCTCCACCGTAAATATTTCATCCCAAACTTTTCATATAAATAATTTAATAAAACTGGAAACTTTAGTAAATACAGTAATGTATCGAAAACCTTTAACGGTTCGTGGAGACTTCTTAAACAGCGAGTAAATCCGTACTATCCAAATTTTAAGTTTGTAGTCATTCAACTTTTAGTAAAATGTACTGTTTTTCAGAATAATTGGAAAACTTGTTTCACATCTATTTTTTAAAATATATCTGGCAAAATTCCTCGGTGACTTGGACTACTAAGGTATTGACAACCGTATATCTTTATGCTCCCATAACCTGTAAGACACGTTATATAAATGTTGAATATAGGGAGCGTTAAGATTGTAGGCGGGCTGTCCCACTTCTCTCCGCTCTCTTCCATTTGTCCTGAACCTACCCACTTCCCTCCTTCCCTTCTGTCCCATAATCCCCCCTCCCAACCCCAGCTTCACGGGCAGTGAGCTTACCAGATAATAGTTTAAAGGTGCCCGCTGGTGCGATCCACGTCCATCCTCGTCCTCAACTCTCTGGTCTGCGGTGGCGAGCATGTGGTGGTGGTTGTGGCGAATGTGGCGGTGGTTGTAGCTAGTGTGGTGGTCGGTGAGTGTTGTGGCGAATGTAATGGCGGCGGTAGTTGTAGCCAGAGTGGGTCCTCTATACCACGCACCTTCCTCTCTCTGCTACCCACCCTCGCGGCCACTTAGCCCCCTCACATAATTGCCTCCTGGGGAGAAAACGACCCTTCTTCTTGTGTTACTGATTGGTGTTGTCAGGTCGCTGCCTGGCTGGGGAGGTGTGGTGGGGGACGGTGGGGGTGTACTTGGCGAGCAAGTGACCCGAGTGCCGGGGAAAATTGAGCCATTTCAGTGTACGTAATTGACCTCCAGCTGGTAGGAGTGACTCGGGGGGGGGGGGGGGGAGGTGAGAGGGGGGGCACGAGGCAAAAGCACTGGAAGGATAACAGAAATAAACGGACAAAGCTAGGCAAGGTCACGAGGAACTTTGGGTTCTCAGTTGTTTTTTGCAGTCAGATTAACTTCGTATACGTTTTCTACATTGATTTGGATAATATGCTACTAATGTATATACATGTGTTTTCTGCTCTACCCATGTATATATTGTCTGATTCTCTACACCCTTGTATATATTGTCTGATTGATTTGCACGTTTGTATGTATTGACTGTACGTATTGTTGAACGTACATGTGTGTCGTGATTGAATGGGACTTTTCTGTATATCTAGTGGGAGATTGTCGCTTTTCATTTTTGCAGTAGTTCACTTGTAACACTTTGGATTATTTTGGTAGTAAATATTAAAGACCCTGTAGTCCAAACTTGCCTCGTTCCTAAATATTATTAAGACGGCTACCTTTTGTTTACTCTTGTAAATGAGTTATCAATTAACTAAAATGAATTTATCATACAATTGTAGTGACACTAATATTGCACTTGAGAATTTGTATTCAGTTGTAATCACCTGGTTGAGTTGGGAGGGCGGGGTTGAGCTTCGAGTTTTTGCTCCTGCCTCTCAACTGCCAATCAACTGGTGTACAGGTTGAGCCTATTGGGTTCTATCATATGTATTTTTTTTTTTTTTTTTTTTTTTTTTAGATATATACAAGAGTTGTTACATTCTTGTACAGCCACTAGTACGCGTAGCGTTTCGGGCAAGTCCTTAATCCTATGGTCCCTGGAATACGATCCCCTGCCGCGAAGAATCATTTTTTCATCCAAGTACACATTTTACTGTTGCGTTAAACAGAGGCTACAGTTAAGGAATTGCGCCCAGTAAATCCTCCCCGGCCAGGATACGAACCCATGACATAGCGCTCGCGGAACGCCAGGCGAGTGTCTTACCACTACACCACGGAGACTGTTAATTTACACGGATGTACATTTGAAACTGTGTATGGGGGCTACCGCATCACTGCGTAGTGCATTTGTTCAGTATAACACTGAAAATATCTTTCTAATTTCTATGACTTTTTTTAGTACGAAGTTAACAAATGTTGCCCAAACCACACCCTAGAAAATTGAAGGGACGACGACGTTTCGGTCCGTCCTGGACCATTCTCAAGTCGATTGTTCCAAATGTGCCCCCGTGTTCGTGTACACCCGTGCTAAATAAGGCAGCGTCTGGGATGCTCCCGGACGCAGGTTCGAATCCTTGTCACGGCCCTTGTGGATTTGTTCATCCGTGCTAAATAGTCTGTATATTCACCCACCCGTGCTAAATTGCCTATCTATTCACCCTATCAATTCCCCTGAGAATATTGCAAGTGGTAATCATGTATGTTTCTCTCTAACTTGTGTCTTCCAGTGACCCGAGGTTTAATTCCTGTAGCCTCCTTCCGTGTATCAAGCAGTAAGGCCCAGCTGAGCTAGGATGCATTTTGCTCCGTTGAATGCGCATCTCATCCACAATGTTCACCTTACATTGTGTTGAAATTCTCGGCGGGTGTTTTTAACGATTTGGCGGTAGTGGTAGTCGTTGGCAGTTGTGTGTGTGTAATCTCGACTCTTTCCTGTAGTTAAATAAATAACTTCGTTTTTGAGCTGCTGCGCCTGCTGGTAGGTGTTTCCGGGTACAGATACCTTCTCACCACCACCACCACCACCACCTCCTCCCTGTCCCTACCACCACCACCTCCTCCTCCCTGTCCCTACCACCACCACCACCTCCTCCTCCCTGTCCCTACCACCACCACCTCCTCCTCCCTGTCCCTACCACCACCACCACCTCCTCCCTGTCCCTACCACCACCACCTCCTCCTCCTCCTCCCTGTCCCTACCACCACCTCCTCCTCCCTGTCCCTACCACCACCTCCTCCTCCCTGTCCCTACCACCACCACCTCCTCCTCCTCCCTGTCCCTACCACCACCACCACCTCCTCCTCCCTGTCCCTACCACCACCTCCTCCTCCCTGTCCCTACCACCACCTCCTCCTCCCTGTCCCTACCACCACCACCTCCTCCCTGTCCCTACCACCACCACCACCTCCTCCTCCCTGTCCCTACCACCACCACCTCCTCCCTGTCCCTACCACCACCACCACCTCCTCCTCCCTGTCCCTACCACCACCACCACCTCCTCCTCCCTGTCCCTACCACCACCACCTCCTCCTCCTCCCTGTCCCTACCACCACCACCTCCTCCTCCTCCCTGTCCCTACCACCACCACCTCCTCCTCCTCCCTGTCCCTACCACCACCACCTCCTCCTCCTCCCTGTCCCTACCACCACCACCACCTCCTCCTCCCTGTCCCTACCACCACCACCACCTCCCTGTCCCTACCTCCCCCCCCCGACTTTCCTCCCCGGCAAGTTAAAACAAAAAAGTGTATTACAAGTAATTTTGCGGGGATCCTGTCATGGGTGATCAAGTCGGCGTCGCTGCTGTTTTCTGACAATTTAGAACTCATTTTTTTAGTTAATGGTTGCCATTTAAACTTTTTTGTTAATATCCTGCCCAAGGATTCTGTCTGCGTTGAGACAGTTTCCAGCCCTCTGCTGTATCTTAACGTTTTCTTACACTTTCTTACGAAGGCTGGAGTATGTGGCGCGAGGATGCCTGTCGCACCCGGGAATTGCGGAATTTTGTATAAAATTATATGGAATTGCAGAATTTTATGTGTGCACAAAATTCACATTGTAAGAAAAACAGGAGTTTAAAAGGTTGGTTCGTCAAGAGGAAAAGTGCGAGGAAATAAAGGAAGACTCCTTACGAGTCAAGGAGCCATTGTAGTGTCAGTATACAAGAAGGTAAACAGACAAGAGGCATTAACTACGGGCCTTTGTTCCTTATATATAATGAAAGGTTATGTATAGATCATAAGAGAGAGAGAGAGAGAAATAATAAAACTTGAGAAAAGGGCCTTTATATAACAACAGCAGCATGGTTTCACAGATGATCACTCTTACCTCACAAACATGGCAATTCTATAAACGGGCGACTGAGATAGACAAGATATAGAAGGCTCGGCGGTCTGTATTCTTTTGGACTGTCAGAACGACGCAGTACCCGACAGGAGAGGAGTAAACAGTGGAAAAATAGGCAGGAGTGACAGGGAAGGTACTCAAGTGGATAAAGGTTGTACCTCTGCTGATTATCTTGAGGTTATCTCGAGATGATTTCAGGGCTTAGTGTCCCCGCAGCCCGGTTCTCGACCAGGCCTCCACCCCATGAAGCAGCCTGTGACAGCTGACTAACTCCCAGGTACCTATTTACTGCTAGGTAACAGGGACATCAGGGTGAAAAACTCTGCCCATTGTTTCTCGCCGGCGCCCAGGATTGAACCTGGGACCACAGGATCACGCGTTCAGTGTTCTGTCCGCTCAGCCACCGGCTCCCTGTAGTTGTTTATGGGCTAGAGTTGCCGACTGTTTACAGGCTATTCATGCCTATGCCACCTCTTTGGTGGCTTAATCTTCATTAATCAGCAGAGAACCCAGTGAGAGGAGAGACCTCGAGTGCCGGTATGTCAACAATGGCGTTCCATAAGAGTCATTTCTGAGGCCAATCCTATTCCTAATATATGTGAACGACTGACCACAGGGGAAGAGAATTATCGAGAGAAAGCCCCGAGTCATTACAACTGTATAGCACTTTGATGTGATGAGGATTTGGTATGGAACAGGGGTGAAGGAATGGTGCCCAACCGCTTGGACGGTCGGGGATTGAACGCCGACCTGCATGAAGTGAAACCGTTGTTTTACCGCCTAGCCTAACTGGGATAGATTCCTTCCGCTTAATGTCCGCCGATGATGCTAAAATTGAGGATATATACACAATGGAAGACTGCAAAAAATTACAGAATGACCTGGACAAAATGAAAGATGGCCCTTCAACTTGCTGCTATAGTTCAACTCGAACAAGTGCACAGTAATGATACTGGATACATAGAATAGGCGGCCGGGCACGTCACACGGGAGAGGAAATCCTCCAGGAATCTGATAGAGAAAAATGCTTGGTTGATATCATACACCACCGCCACCAGAAGAAGTGTCCCACTGGGATGTGGGCTTCTGGCGACCAAATCTGTCGCCAGAAGCACACATCTTAGGAACATCGTCAGCTACTTACGTATTTTTTTTATTAATGTATGAGGTGCATCTGCATTAGTATAGCTAACCTAGACTATATGAAGTGGAGTACAGTGTGTCAAAAAAGCTAACTAGGTGATGCTAAAAAAATCAGCTGCTTACGGAAGGTTGTGTTGTAGAAGGAATCTGAACAGGAGTCTTTCAGGATCACGTGTATCATTCATATCGGGCCAGTTTGGTTATATACAGCACTAGCCTGGAACCCTTATCTTGTTATACTTAAAACGAAACTGGGGAAAGTTCATAGGTATGTATTAAGAAGTGAACTGGTGGAGTCAAAGCCCATACACAGCTTTAAGTGTAGCTATGACAGCTCAGTATCCTCTGGGACCCATACAGCAGTCAATTATGGGTTGAGAGGTGGGACCAAGAGCCGTAGTTTATTCCCGTAAATGCAACTAGGTCAGTACGTACGTGTGTGTGTGTGTGTGTGTGTGTGTGTGTGTGTGTGTGTGTGTGTGTCACGCAACAGTCTCACTCGTTCTAGGCATATTCCTGGTAGGGGAGCATTTGGAGTAGTTGTATTAGCCTGAATGAGAATAGTGGTGGTGGTGGTGGTGGTGTATGAGTTACAGTGGATGCATGCCCTTGGTAATGGGGTCCCTTGTTCCCTCCTAATGTA